AACCTATCCGGAGAATCTCCAGGGAAAAAATGATATTGTTTACTGTGAATTGTTACATTAAAAGCACCACATATTATAGATTATATTAGTTAAATAACTTGCGTGATGTTGTTGATTAATTTTTATATATTAAAAATATTAAGATATAAAAATATTAAATTTTTTTACAAAATTATATCAAAGAGTCTTAAATTTGATTACAATACTGGAACTAGGAGTGATATTTATAATAACATTAAACTTAAAAAACTCAAGTTTAAGTGGGTCTGACTGCAATACCAAACCTAATAGTCTTGAATATAAGTTTAGTTGCAAAATTGTGTCATAAAAGTGTGATACTTAAATAGATTAATTAAAAGAACAAAACAAGAAAAAAACCAACATGAAAAAAAATAAAATAAAAATCTGAATTAACAGGGTTAACCCGTCAAACTTAAGATTTGTGTCATGATAGTCTGATAATTAAATAAAAAAATTAATATCAACAAACAAAATAAAAAAAGTGAATTGTACTGTACAGTCTACAATGAAAGACATAAAAAAAAACTAAAGGTATTAGTCTTTTCACCGTGGACTGCATACAATATTAAAAGATGAAATCGAAACAATAAAAGTAGTGAGGAAAAAGAGAAACAATTTGGATTAATCAGGTTAACCAGTCAAACCTGAGATTTGTGTCATGAAAATTTAATAATTAAATAGAAAAAAATAATATTAAGAAAATAATTACAAAATAGTTACAAAACAAAAAAAGACAAAAAGATTTTAAAAAAAACTAAAAGCATCAACTTTTTCATCGTGGATTGCACTATGCAATTCACAGTAAAAGGCTTAAAAATAAAAAGAAAAAAAAACAAAATAATGGCATACACGACGGGTTATTTTTTTCTTACATAAAAATATCAAAAAATATTAAGAATTAAGAGTGTTATATATTTCTGCAAAAATATATTCAAGAGTCTTTGGTTTAGCTGCAATGCTTGATCTAAGAGTAATATTTATAATAATATTAATTATATGACTTAAGTTTAAGTAAGTTTGGTAATAATAATAATAATTATAATGATAATTATATAATTATATTATTATATTATAATATTTTTTTCTTATTTTTTTGTTTTTTATGCCTTTATGAGTTTTTTTTATTTTTTCTTTGTTTTTTATTTTAATATTTTTTTTAATTTAGTTTGTTAATGAATCCCGAGTTTGATGAGTTAATCTGATTTGAATTTGAATTAACTAGGTTAACACTTCAAATCAGGTTAACCCGTCAAATCTTAAATTTGTGTAATGAAACTTTGATAACTAAATAAAAAAATAATTTAACGGGTTAATCTATAATTAACTGGGTTAACCTGTCAAGCTTGAGAAATGTGTCGTGAAAGTCCGATAATTAAATAGAAAAAAATTTAACATTAATAAACTAAACTAAATTAAAAAAATTAATTAAAAAGCAAAAAAAAAAGAAAATTCTGAGTTAACTCGTCAAATTATGTTAATCGGTCAAACTCGGGATTCATTAACAAATTAAATTAAACAAAAAAAATTATTAAAAGGAAAAAAAAACAAAGGAAAAGGCAAAAAAAACCATAAAAGCATAAAAAACAAAACAAAACAAAAAAAATGAAATATAATAATAATAATAATTATTATTATTATTATTATTATTATTATATAAGTATGATTAAAAGGCGCAGGGAAGCTACAATGTTTTCCTACAAAGAAAAACCCTGATGAAGAAAAAAAATTTGAATTAATTGGGTTAACTCTTTAAATTAGGTTAACTCATCAAACCTTAGATTCGCGTCATGAAAATTTCATAACTAAATAATAAAAAAATTTAACAGATTAACTCATAATTAACTGAGTTAACCTGTTAAGTTTAGAGACGTGTCATGAAAATCTGATAATTAAATAGAAAGAAATTTAACATTAATAAACTAAACTAAATAAAAAAAATAATTAAGAAGAAAAAAGAAAAAAACAAAATTTCAGGTTAACCCATCAAACTCGGGATTCATTAACAAACTAAATTAAACAAAAAAAATATTAAAAGAAAAAAGCAAAGAAAAAAAACCCATAAAGACATAAAAAACAAAAAAAAAAGAACAAAAAATATTATAATATAATTATAATACGATATAATAATATAATTATCATAATAATAATAATAATAATAATAATAATAATATTATTATTATTATATATAAATGTTATTAAAATACATGGGAAACTACAGTGATTTCCTTACGTTTTTTAGTATATTATTAATAAAATTAATTGATAATCTTAGTTTTACTAGACAATTAACACAAGAGATTGATAACTTGATATCTAACTTAAATTAGGTTTTTAGTTGAACCGATATTAATTTAACAAAACTTATTTGATCTAATTAATTTTTTAGTAGTTTTACTTAACTGATTCAGGCTTAACAAAAACAACAACCAAGAAAAGAAAAAGAAAACAAATTATATAAACAAACAATTATATCATAAGCTAGCTTGGAAATGAATTAATTAATTTATTTCAATTTTAGAAATTATTTAATAAGTTATCAAATACTTAAATAATTAATTAAACAATTTATCTCAATGTTCCAATGTTTAACAATGGCAATGAACATCAAACCTTTGCTTCTCTTTGCCTTGCTGTTGTATTCTCTTTGCCCTTGTTGTATGCAATTCTACACGCACAATGTTACTGGCGGTCCAAATCCAACCGCTGTCCGGGTTGCAGGCCCTGATAAGTCCACCACCAGCCCAAATACAATAGCCGTCATGTTTGGGTATTTTTACATGACGGACAACCCGCTCACGGTCACACCGGACCCGAGCTCCACAGCTGTAGGACGTGCACTAGGGATTTATGGCGTGTCATCGCAAAACGAGTTCAGCCTTCTAAGGTCACTCGCTGTTGGGTTCATTAGTGGACCTTACTGTAATCATATGTTAAATTTTGATAAATTTCTCATAAAGATATTTTTATGTCAGGATATAATTGAAGAACTTGAATAATATGTACTGTAATCATATGCTAAATTAGGGTGATAAAATTACATATGGTTTGAGATTTAACCCTTTTAGGCTCGTTGTTGTTTGATTATAAGCTTGGGATCACTTGAATTTATTTATTTTTAATTATTAATGCTTATGTGTATAAGAATTTTATAATTTTTCTTATTTAGGGCACTTTGTGTGCATTTTAAGGCCCTTTGTAGTATAATACGTCAGCTTCATATGAATGTTACGTTTGGAATTCAATTTGAACTTTCACAAATTTGCCCAGAAGAGTAATATAGGAAATTTTGATATTTAAAGAAATATCAATACTAATTAATTGCCGAATCATCAGGAAAACAATAAAAATGATATATATTTATTTATTAATTGGTGAACCATTTTTTTCTCACTTTTCCATGACATTGAGTAAATGTTCATCAAAATCAACAAGCTTGAGAGTTGACATTACTTTATATATATATATATATATATATATAGACACATTTTAGACACATTTTTGGACGTGATTCTATCAACTAGAAGTTCTTAGTGATTATATATTTACATATAGATTAAAAAATATAAATGATAGAATTTGAAACACAAATATTCTTTCCTCTTAATAAATTAATAAATTCCTTATCACTTGACTATTACTAGCTGAGTTATTAGCTACTTTCAACATTAAATAGAATATATAATGTGAAGTGATATTATCTTGAAAATATGGCGTCAAACTTAATTTATATATAGTTGTTACTTAATTTACAGTAGGATTTTTTATATTTAATAAATACAATAAACTATTGCTATACATTAATTAATACTTTCTATTTTTTTTTCTCATTTTTAACAATTGAATGTGTCCCAAGTGAATTAGTTATTTTTTAGAGTTAACCTTGACAAAAAAATATGAGAAAAAGAGAAATTCTAGATAAAAATATTCATATTATTTTTGTTTTTTTTCCTTTATATATATATATATATATAATGAATTTTAGGTTTCGCTAGTCAACTTCCCGTCACAAGTTTTCTTTATTGAGACATGAAATTGTAAATGAAGACAAAAACTAAAAAGATATAAAAAAATATAATTATGTGACAACTAAATAGGGCCCCAATGTTTTTTATTTTTTCAAAAAGTAAAAAGCCTTTCCCAAAACTTGGATTGCTCCTGTGTAAGCTTGAATTCCATTAGGTTTGATAAAGGCAGAATAATTTCCCAAGCTCCTTTTTAGGCTGCAGCCTATCATCTACTCCAACCACCTATGCTTGTTTTACCAAATGAACCAAAAAGCAAGAGTGCCCTATTTTTTAAACAAAGTCTTTAGGACTTTATATTGCAAATTAATTCAGAGCTTCTTGATTAAATAATTTGATTGAAACTGAATATCGGCATTATTGATGAATTAATGAACTAATGATGATCCAAGAAAACTTTAAATCGACATACACTTGCTCTTTCGTACCAATCAGGTGAAAGGTTAAAATCAATGGGCAGAAATTGAATGAAATTCAAAAGATTACAAAATAGGAAACAGTTTGTAATTAATTATTTTACTTTATTTATTTCCAAGCAAACAGAAGAGAACAAAATAGATGGTTTTCTCCTTTTCACATTTTTCTAATTTGGTGTAAAATAAAAAAAATAAAAGAAGAGGAGTTTTTTATAAATTTTTTGTATGACCTGTAAGTCAACTCGAGTTGTTGATTGAAAGCTCACTTGAGTTGGGTTTAATGTTAAATACGATTTTAATTGATCATCCAAAATTAATAAATAATCTGATTGATTTAATCAAAATTTAAGTGAGATTTTATTTAATTTATTTAAAATATAATTTTAAAACAATATAATTTTAATTTTTTTAAAATTTTAAAAAATACCGAGTTCTAACTATTTAATTTATAAATCAAATGAATTTTATAACTATACAGTTTCTTACCTGACAAGATAAAAAAAAACATGTGAAAAGGAATTCATCTCTCCAGTCTCTCACTCTGAAAAACTCTCTTTGAGCCCTTTACTATGGATATTCCATCTGTTTCTATCTTTCCCTGAACATTCCAAGATCGAGCATGCATATATATATATATATCACCCTCATCGTCCGCTACAGGAAGAGAGAGGATGGTTAGAGAGATGGGTGGATGACTCCCACCCACTCAATCATAAGCCCGACCCAACCCTCTTCCTCCCTCCATGGACATCACGTTCTTCTTCATTCTCTCTCTCTCTCTCTCTCTCTCTCCCCCCACAAATCCGTAACTCGCTAACCTTTTCCCCCCTTAAAAAACCACTATACATGCATCACATAAACGAAAGGAAACCACTAAGACACCCCACTTACATACCATACCATTTCAGTTTTCTATTTTGCCCGACACATTTTCGTGTACACTTCTGACTTCTTGCTCTCTCTCTCTCTCTCTCTCTCTCTCTCTCTCTCTATTATTAATTGCTACTAGTTAGTATTTTCTAGTTAATTCCCTTTTCTTGTTTTTGTTTACCTTTTTCTTTATTTAATTAGTGGCATCTCTCGCTCCTTCTCTCTATCTCTCTCTATGTGTGTGTGTGTGTGTATATATGATCTATATCTATATATACTACGTAACTTTGCTTAGTCTTCACTTTTCTCTTGTTAAAGAATTCTATTCTCTCCCTTGATCTGTACTCAAATCCATAGTTTTCATAAATTAGCACTAAAAAAGATGTCTCTGGAGTTGGTATCTGAACCTGTTTGTTATGTTCACTGCAACCTCTGCAACACCATTTTAGCGGTACAGCACTCAATTCTCCCCCCTCCCCTCCCCTCCCCCTCTCTTTCTCCGTGTATTTAATATATATATATATATATATATTCTCTCTCTCTTTTTCATGACCTAGCTAGTGACATCTGGTGAGGTGTTTAGTCTCATGATGTCTCTTCAGAGCTGAATTTGTCATACTTGCATCATGTTCAGTCATCAGCAAAGCTCTTGTTTGTGAATGTTTTTCGGTTTTGTAGGTTTCTGTAGCTAAGAGGATCGTTCAGCTGAAATGATTGGGGATGAGAATATATATATATATATATATATAGAAACATGTGGTTAATTTGTAGAATAACAATGCAAACCCAATTTTTTTTAGATGACATTATCTTGATGTTTATATAAGAAAAAACATTATCTTGGTATGATTTCCTTTCATCCATCATGGATCAAAGATTTTTCTTGATTCTTCTTTGGAATAGCCAACAATTCTCTCTCCTGTGTCATATTTTATGACAAAATCTATCTGGGTTTTACCACCCAAAGTCTGCAAAATCATTTCATAGAATTCTTGTGTACCGTTACGATCGAGCCTTTTCATCAGACCTTGATTTGAAAACTTAGCGGTTAAGGAAAGCCACAGAATTCATCAAAACCATATGATTTAAAACCTTTGGTGATCTATCAAATAATAAGAAGCTAGGAAAGTACCAGCATTTCAAGAAGTTAAAGAAAGGCAATCCAAGGTCCTTTGCTGCTAAGATTATAAGGTCTTTTGACGAGGGCTGCAGTTAGGTATTAGGGTTCTTCCCTGGCAGGTAATGGTGCCAGTATTAGAAAAGAAGCCTTTTCTTAGCCTTGCAGAAACTTTAGACACTTTCAAATTTTCATGCTACTAATCTACTGCTCATGAAGGCTAGATAGCTATTTCTACCCTTGGCCTTCCATTTACTAATTCATCAGAGTATTGATGACCTTTTGTCATTGGACATTTCTTGGAATGAACTGGTTAACTGTTCAAGATCTCTCTCTCTTTCTCTCTCTCTCTCTCTCTCTCTCGGAGGTGGGTGCTTCTGTTGCTGCTTACCAAGGACTTGAAATGATTACTTTGATCTAACATATTAATTATGTTGCATGTTTTCAGGATTGTGTATCCCTGTAAGTACAAAAGGGAGTGCTTTGCTTTGTTTGTACTAGAGTTTGTGGAGAGCTGGCAAAGGGAATCATGGTCAAGCCAAGCCATAGCCCAAATAAATGCTTTTACTCTCCTTTTCAAACCCTTTCATCATAGCAGGCCTCTATAAACAACCCTTTTTGAAGTGCATTCTCCTATAATACAATCTCTTTCTTTCTCTCCCCAATATCTTTTATAGAAATGAAGATCCCAAGCACTATACACAAAGATCAGTTAAAATCATATCTATCTCTTTATTCATTACCATCTTCGATAGCTGTGTTAAGTGTTAATTTAGCCTTTATGGTTCCGTTCCAGTCAAGTCGTTTTCAATCTCCTCTCCCTCACTCCTCTCTCAATCACTGTGTTGGCTATTGTTTTGCTTTTATCATCTTGCTTCTGTGTCAGGGCAAAAAGTCAGTATAGCACCGAAAGGAAAAGGATATGGAGGGAAGAGAGAGAGAGAGAGAAGGGAGACATTTGAATCAAGAGCAAGTCCTTATAGTTATTATCATGTGAGATCAGCGGTAACTGAGTAACAAGTCCTTAATTTCGATCCCTACATAGAGAAAAGAATCACTCAAGCAGATTCGAGCCCCATAAGTAACCCTAAAATAATGAAAAAAAGATGAACTCAGTTGCAGATGAAAGATTAATCGCTTCATTACTCCGCTCCTCCTTCTCACATACACCCTTTCCTTCTCCTCTTATTTCCAATAAGTAGTTCCATTTCAAGTTGCAACCCTGCCTTTAATTGCTTCTCCTCCTTGTCCCTTCTTATGTCCTAACTCCTGTATTTCTCTTATGACATATCAGAAAACCTTTTCTTTTCTTCTTGTTCTTCTTTTTTTCTTCTCACTAGATAAGATGCATGAGAGGCCTCAACTTTTCAAAAATTTCTTTGTGGATGTCAAGACTTGATATGATGTTTTATGGATGTCGTCTAGTTACCTTTTCAAAGTACTAAAGTTGGAGTATCTTCGATGTTAGATTCTTTAATTTTCTTATTAGTTGCTATATATCATCAGTTCATGTCTTATAAATATATATAGATCATTATTATATGCAATGGTCCAACTAGTTTTAAAGATGTGGGCTTGACTTAAAAAGCTCAAACAACAAACTAACAAAACCTAGCCTAATTAACCTTCAGTTTTGGATGCTAGGGTTCTGTTAAAATTTGAAGCAACTTATACATTTGGATCTATCCAAGTGATTTCTTGTGAAAAATACAAGACATTCCTTTCATGTTTCACAAATTCTTCTTGGCAGGTTAGTGTTCCAAGCAGCATTTTGTTCAATATTGTGACAGTAAGATGCGGGCATTGTGGCAATTTGCTGTCTGTGAACATGGGAGCGTCCTTACAAACACTTCCTATTCAAGATCCCCAAGTGAGTATCATTTCAGGGACATTCTTATGGTTAACTGTAAACTTTTTATATTCTTTCCAAGAATATATTTATTTAAGGAAGATTTTAGAGAATAAGGGATGATTTTTTCAATTAAAATTTATAACATTTCATAAAAAAAATAAAATAATATCAGTTTGATTTTACATGTTTTCTTTCTTATATTACACACTTTCCCCTTCCTTTTTTTTTTTTTGATGTTTTTGTACGTGAGTTTTGGCTATACTTGTCCTAGAACTTGTAAATCCCTTTGCGAAACTATCACAGGCTTTCTTTCTTGGTAAGAAAATGTTTCTTGGTGCACCTCTCTAATTTGTTTGTGCAAAGTCACAGAAACTGCTTCTTATTAACTCAGAAGATTTGAACAAGAACTTTGGATCATCTTCCAAATGTAACAAGGTCACTGCTTCAGAGTCTACTGAGCATGAACCACCTAGGATGCCCGCCATCCGCCGTGAGTCTCCCTCCCTCCCTCTTTCTCTCTCTCTCTCTCACGGTACGCTCACAGCTGGATACATTTGTTACTGCATGGGGTGTGTATGTTCTTTGCTATCAGTCATTTTCCATGTCCAAATTGTACTTATGTGTAGGTGATAAATACTACCATAGCGTGGTTGCGACCACATATTAGATGCATAACCAAACAACACGCGTAGGGTTAAGATATGATGGACCTAGAAATGTTGATGACGACCACAAAGCTAGCAAAGAGTAAATGAGCCAGCAGAACCGATCACCCTAGCTATCAACTAAATACATACGTTTATGTATCTTATATGTATGTTTTTTCTGCCTTGTAATACTAACAAAACATAATCTATAGGATTATTTCTTTTACAATGTTAATAAAGCATTCAAATGAATCATTTGGGTTTTATCTAAAAATAATAATAATTAAAAATACCATGTATTATATACACTGGGTCAATTAATAGTATGTACAAGCAATGTAATTATTGAGTAAAATGATATCATTTAATATAATTTCTTATGGTTAATTTACACACACACTCACACACACACACATATGTTAATGGACTAATTATTTCCCTGTCAATTGTCAATAATGCAGCCCCAGAGAAGAGGCAGCGTGTTCCTTCTGCATATAATCGGTTCATCAAGTAATTAAGTTGACATATATATATACCCTCTCTTATCTCTTTACATGAAGAATGAGTGTTGGTCTTCAAGCCCTTAACTGATAGTAAAATCACTTCACTTGCAGGGAGGAAATTCAAAGGATCAAGGCTAGTAACCCTGACATTAGCCACAGGGAAGCTTTCAGCACAGCAGCCAAAAATGTGAGTTTTTGTCCTTCAATCATATATGTGGAAGTATTTAAATTAATAATAACAAACACCTGCCTGTCAATTTGCAATCTAAATCTCTCGTAATTATTTTTAGGAGACTTGGATATTAAAGTGACAAGGCTTGGATTTTTAGGAGGAATTAGATATAAATATTGTGTGTTTTCTTCCTGTTCTAATAGAGATAATTGAACATTCAGCAGTCAGCACTATAATACTTCTTCATGGCACATTTCTATATATATATATATAGAAACTCAAGAGGTCTTAAACTATTTTTAATGGAGCATTTATTTTTTAGAATAATCAGTTGTGGTGAAGATATAAAGATGTCAATTTTAATCCTTAAAAAAAATAATCTTGATCATATTAAACCCACACATATATTTACATGATGTTTTGATGAATGTACGTAGAATTAAAGGATCTAGCCTATAGACTTGTTGCTTTCTCATTCTTCCATTGACAAGTCTTCATCTCGGGAATTGAAACAAAAAAATAAAATAATAATAATAATAATCCATTTTCACATGTTTAAAATGGATTAGATTACTCTTTAAGTGTAGGAAACAATGATAAATGGATAATCATTTGATTTTCGAGCTTGGCATGTCAACTTTGCTAATAAATCCCAAATTAAATTCCCAATGGTTGCAAATAATTTTTGCACCAAACCTATGTCCCCTCCCCCAGTACCTCCCTATTTATTTATTTATTTATTTTGCATGATATAATCAGTGTCATGTCAATTGTTAATTGGGTGCTAAGACTGTTCGTTGAAGCTTTGTTAATTAGTGATAAAGCCTATATTTCAGCAATTATGTTATCTAATCAGTCCATAATTCTCTTCCTGCACTCTTGGTGCTAAGACTGGTAATAATTTAAAATGAACTGAAGGAAACAAAATAAAAGGAATATTTTATCATGGATGCGAAGTCATCTCAATCTGACATGACGCCTTCAGGTAAATAAAGAGAAAGAACTTTCGATAAATTAGGCAAAGCTTTAGGGTTGGCATGTTCATTGCAAGAACTATATATTCCTAGGAATTCACGGAAATTGCAAATTAAATCGCACAGCACGTAGTGTAGAACATATTTATAAATGGAGATATATTCTTGTCCAAATTAAAAATATTCGAATATTGAATCTTTTTTTCTTTCAAGATGGTTTGATTTCGCCTCCTGATCTGTTTAGATTTTATTCATTTCTTTTTATCTGTTTTTTCATTACCTCGTCGTGATGCCTTTGAGTCTTTGTCTGTTCCAATATTAAAACAATATTTATGATTAGATATTGTAAAATTAACACCATCTCTACCCAGTATTAAATACCAATAATTGGTTTTTTAATTTGTATTTTATTCTTGAGACACCTCTGACCTTCAAATAATAATAAAAATAAAATCTCAATGCATGTCTTAAGGATAGCCTCCGGTAAGTCCCAATAATCAATATGTATATATACATCTGTTTTTTCAGTGGGCACATTTTCCTCACATTCACTTTGGACTGAAGCTGGACAGCAACAAGCACGCTAAATTAGACCACCAGTCATTTGCAGGAGAGGGCACCCAAAAAACTAGTGGATTGTACGAGATCAATGGCTCCCTGTGAGTAGCACGTAGAATTACATATCTATATTTTAAGCCACGGTTTTTCTATGTATAAATAATAAAAACAACTCGATCGATCGAAGATTATTACTGCATATAAGAGGTTTGATGTTGAAGTCTCCTAGTTAACAAAATAGGAAGACCGGCCTCCTCTTGAAGAGCTTCACAGCCCCATGCATGCACAAAAACCTTCCCCATTTCATAAATATATATATTTGTGTGCTAATCTCATGCTCTTAATTAATTTGTGACTGCTACTCCAGTTATTTATTATTTCTTCATTTATGTTCGGATTCTATTATAAACTCAATTACAATATTCTCTAAAACGCTGTGCATTTGTTTTTCGTACCTCTCTCTGTCTCTCTCAAGAAGACAGAATGGACAGCCATGTCTGTCTGATGTGGTAGCCATGAAGGACCACTTAAGCGGTATGACATTAATCCATGATTTTATCGTTCCTCTCAAAGAACCATAAGCTCAAACCATTGGGAGAGAGTTTCTGAAGTGTATTGTATGGATGCAAGCTTTTATATACAGTGCGCGCAGGAGCGGCTCTGCGTATCGCAAGAAACCTGAGAGAGAAAGATGCACTGTGATCATAAGCCCTCGATCGAGAGACTTAATCTCAATTGGGATACAACCTGTTCCGAAAATATCTTTTAAAATCGAATGAAAAAAAAACATTGAAAACATTTTATTAGGAATCGATCCTCTTGCCAAATGCACTAAGCCTTTTCGACTAGAAGAAATGCATTAATTTATTTTTTAATTTAAAAAACAAGGAGACGCAGTACTGTTGTTATTCATCAAAAGATAAGTGCCTAGCCATAAGCAGACATATTTTGAAGGGAAAACAAAAAACCATGATCAAGCACACCAAATTTGATGGGACGAAAACATGCAGAGATGACAAGACATACCACCTCAAAGCACATTTAATTTGTGTAAGTCTAAGGCAGGCCAGCCATTTCATGTATATATGCAGTGATCTTTTTTCTTTATGATCATAGTTATGTTATTCTTCCACATATCACTGCGCCTTTTATGCATCTTAGCTAGCTGTTGTGTGCTTTCTTCATTGTTCGCTAACTAAAAAAAAGAACGAGAGAAAAGAAGAAATTTATTGAATGATATTTAGCTGCAGGTAATGACAAGAAACCCTAGATTTTCTCTTAACCACTAGAGAATCTTACAACCCCCCCCCCCCCCCCCCCCC